ATACCTCGCAATCAACTCTATAAGGTAGTGCCTCAGAATCTTCAATGGGAAGAATATTGCCTCTAACTCCAATTCATTAGAGGGGTAGTTCCTCTCGTGAACGTACATCTTCTAAGAAGCAATACAAATAATTGTGCCCTACTGCATCAACACACTAACCAAACAAACATTAAAAGCTTCACAGTAGACAGTAAACCCATGGCCATCAATAGAAAGTGTTAGAATTATAGCTCAAATCAAGAAGGCCTTGAGCTTTAAAAAGCTCACCTCACAATTGTCATACCATTAGAAAGGAACATTCTTCTAAGTCAATCAAGTGAATGGTGCTCAATCAGGCAAAACCTTTCAATAAAAAATTGTAGTAGCGTGCTAACCTGACAAAAATGTGAACCTCGGTAGGAGAAGTAGGCCTAGAAAAGTCGTGAACTACATTTATCTTTGTTTGTGCCAGCATAATCCCATCATTGTAGACAACATGTCCAAAAAAAAGCTAATGACTCAGGATAAAACTCACACATAGAGAACTAGGCATACAACTAATGATCTCTCAAGGTCTAATGCACAACCATCAATTGTTGCTCATGTTGATCCCTACTCCTTGAGTAGACTAGAATGACGTCGATGAAAACTATTACAAAAGTATCCATGTAAGGTCTGAAAACTTGATTCATCAAATCCATGTACATTGTTGGACAATTCGTCAACCTAAAAGACATGACTAAAAACGTATTGTGACTAGAATGAGTGCTGAAAATAGTCTTCAGAAAGTACGCGACCCTAATCCTCAACTAGTGGTAGCCCAATCTCAAGTGTATCTTAGAGAACATCACTTCACCCTAAAGATAGTCAAGAAAATTATCAATCTACACTATCAGATACCTAATCTTGATAGTCACCTTGTTCAACTGTATGTAGTCAATACACGTACACAAGGAACTATCATTCTTCTTCACGAACAAGACAAAAGCACCTTATGGAGACATATAGGGCCTAATAAACCCCCTTACTCAAGAGGTTCTAGAGTTTGTACTTAATCTCCTCAATTAAACTAGTGTCATCCAATATGGTAGAATTGAAATCAGCTCAGTACCTATTATAATATCAATGTTGAAGTCAATGTCACGGTCAAGAGTAAGACCGGGTAGATGGTCGGAAACACGTCAAAGAACTCTTTAACCATAGAATTGACTCAAGAGAAGAGTGTAGGCACTAGTATCACGAGCATAAGAAAGATAGGCTAGACATCCCTTTCCTGCCACTCATTGTGACTTCAAAAATGAAATCATACCCCCTCGATATGTAGCTATCAATAGTCGCACACAATCAGAGGGATACTAGGCATACACAAACTAAAAGTCTTGGAAAAGCAATCCAAGAGATCATGATATTGAGATAACCAATCCATGCCTAAAATTAAGTCAAAATCTACCATATCCAAAACAATATGGTTTGACCAAGTATCATACCTTAAGATGGACACCAAATAGTATCTATAGACTCGATCCACTACTAGAAATCACCTATAGGGTAGTTACACATATAGGCTCACACAAAGGATCACAAGATAACTTTAAATTTGTAGCATCATAAAAGGATACATATAAGTATGTAGACCCTAGATAAGACAATGCATAAGTAGCCTGATGAGTGATTAACATTTCAAACAGACCTCATCCAATTCTAGGTGCGAACGATCCTTAAGCAGTATAAAACCCAACAATTGAGTTGGGGTAGAATCCCACAGGGAGCCCATTTTGATTACCGTTTCAAAGACACTTCATCCAATTCTAAGTGTCAACGATCGCTAGTCAGTATATAACCCAACTAAATGAGTTCGGGTTGATCCCACAGAGATTAGCTTTTCTTTCGAATTAAATCATAGATGTATGACAACAATCTCTTCAACTGAACACTTACTGCACCTGTTTGGTTTAAGCTTTAAATTTCAGGTTATAATTATCAATCCAATTCAACACTTAACACGAAACGATCAAATAGTGAGGTAACACTTGGGGAATTTACCAACCAATTATTGAATTCAACTTAGTGGATGAACATTGATGCTCACAATAGGTTAAACTGTCGTGGGTAGTTCGGACTATATGTAAAGCAATTTTCTCTCGAACAATTACATTATCTTTGTCGAAATCTCTTGAACTTCAACACTAGACAGTAGATGCCCAGCCCTCATCCTCATCAAATCTACTCTCTCGAGCTAGATACAGAGGAGAGATTCCATGTTTCACTTTCTCAAGCTGAAAACATGGTGACCCACTCCTAAGGATGCTAAATTTGCTACTTTGGCTCTATACTTCTCTCTCGAGCAAGCACAAAACACTGAACTTGTTACCCTAATTATGCAAGACGACCTAAAAAAATAGCAGCAATTCAGACCCACTTCAAGTTAACACTATTATTCGCAAATCAATGACACCCACTTAGGAAAACATATCAATTGGTCATATCGCCAAAACCCCAAGGTTAGGGTTTTAGCCAATCATAATGAAAAGATGAAAATCAACACGTGCCATGTTTTTCATAGCTGGGTAAATGAAGTTTGGAAGTTAAATTCTACTACAATCTTCTCTATTACAAAATTTCAATGAAAAACCTTGCTAAAATAACCTGAAATCCACAATAATAGTGTTTTCAATCTCAATCTTGTGTTCCTCACGTTTCTGAATGCCTTCTATCTCTTCCAAAACTCAATTTATGCAAGTCTGATGTGAAGTTGTTGGGGACCAATTGGCGAGGTAAGTCGGGTTTCGTCGACCATTCAGTGACTTATCGATTTTCCTTCATCTCGCCTTCATTTTTCATCTCTTCTTACTCTAGCCATTGTAATTTTAGGCGAGTCAAATCGGGATAGCCGAGCGATTCCGCGATGCGCCCTTTTTCCTTTCCACTCGCCCATCGACACTTATCTCGATCTTCATCAGTAATTTTCGTTACCTGGTCATTCATTGCCAAAGCGATCGGTAAAACGCTGAGTGGACCTGCTACTCCCCGAAGTTACCCCTAATCCAGCCTCAGCGTTCTGTAACTATAGGCGGTAGGGTGGAAACTTGGCGAGTCACCGAGTGACGTTCATCAGGCTTGTCTTTCCCTTCTCTTTCTTGCTCGTGTTGTCTCTATTTTCCATTTCTGTCCTAGCTTTGTTCCACAATCCATGTATCTGAATATCAATGGTTTTACATCAGTTGTTGGCACAAAATAAGTATTTGAGGACACTAAATCTATAAAAATAAAGCCCTAAATGAGTCCAAATCTCGAACTTATCAACACCCCTAATTTAAACTTTTGCTTGTACTCAAGTAAAACTCAAGTTTGGCAGTTCAAAAAGGATGTCTCAAATAGTGCTACACAAGACTCAATCATGAATGCACACAAAAAGACTCAACTTACTCATGCAAGGATCAATGGCACACTAAAAGATTCAAGTTGTGACTCACCATTATCAAAGATTCTCAAGTTCACCATACTTGCTTCGAATGCAAGTTCAAGCTCAAGAAAGGTACTCAAATGACCCTCACCCAAAGAATGATTCCATATTCACACACGATGGTTCAACAAAGGTACTCCACCCATAGGTTTTGCCCTTATTTTCCAACCAACACTTGTTTCAGCTCACTCAAGATCAAAAAGGTCTTTTCAATGCTTGTAACGGGGTTGAGTGTAAAGGTATGGTCATTTAGGCTCAGTGGTTGCTATCCTCATAAAATGTGGCGTGAACAACACTTCATTCCCTTTTCTTCGTCATTCTCATTCATGCTCAAAAGTCACCCCATTATTTATTTTCAATGAAACTTTGGACATCCCATTTCTATTTGCAACTTTATTTCAGAACTTTTTCATTCTTTTTCTTTTTATATATATATATATTTTTTATAGAGGGGTTCCATCTTTTTCAAAACCATGGGTAGAGGGGAATTTCTTCACATTCCTTGATTTACCTTATCTTTTAACCACACTCCTAACTTAGGCTTTTGGCCTAAGTTGGCTATTCAAACAAGCCACATCTTATGAGGATTAAGGGTGAATGGATAAAGAAAGGTCACAATTGCATCAAGTTTCTCCCAAGAAAAGGGTAAGGCTAAAAGGGTGCTCAAACAAAAAACACACACTCACAAGGTAGGCCACAAAAGAGGTATAATGTCCAATTGTTTGACTCTTTAAAATTGTTGCCGAAAGATTAATTCAAGAGCTCACATCACTTGGTCAACCGAATGAACGGGGAAAATTCTAAGTGTCATCACACAAGGTTCACGGGAAGCTCATCAGACAAGGCATTGACACCAATGTCAAACCAGACTCCACATTTTCGCTAGTGTGTAATGTTCATCACAAGAGACTCAATTCGACAGTCGGCTAGTCATAACGAGATGCAAAGAGTTCACATATTGCCTATGCAACTTCATTTGGCCTCATAGTAGCTGCACATTCATGTTTGTTCGATTGAGGGCACCATTCAAGTCATCGGTATTGATCACAACCGACACTCAAATTTGCACAAGAACAACCACAATTAAACACAATCAAGGGGTGGTAAAAATGGATCCAAAAGTGTCCAAGCACACTGTGGAATTCACTGACCACAAGTACACACCCCCACCAAAAGCATTCAACATTGTCCCCAATGTGAGTAGAAAACGGACACTCCCGCTAATAAAACAAGAATAAAAATAACAACTAGCAAATAAAGATAAAATTTTAGTATGTAAACATGCAAAGCAAGGTGAGGAGGAATCTTCACTAAGCACCCAGTCGGCGAGAAAATGAAACAGTCGCTGAATGCTTCGGTGGTGCACCCAATGAGCAAAATATCGCCTTTTGTTCCAGTGGGTGACACTCGCAGAAAGGGGCAGATTGGTGGAGGTGCAAGAGGTCGCTGAACAGGTCAGTGATTTGACATAATGGAATTGGAACTTCGCCTATCGATCATTGAGTTACGCTGTAAGCGATAAAGTAAAAGGCGAGAAAAATCAGGTCGCCTAAGCACATCAGCGATTCGCCAAGTGATGAAGGTTTCCCGCAGAATGTTCCAAAATCTCTACCTCATTTTTGAAGTCCATAGTGCATACTATGTCGTGCTCGCCAAACAGGTTTGGCGATTCGCCAATAGCATCTTCTTCTCGCACAAAATCCTGCACCTGCAAAATCAACACACATTACTTTAAAATGCTAACACTTGGGCTGCCTCCTAAGAAGCACCTTATTTGACGTCGTGGCACGACATGGAAATTCTCTCAAGCATCTTCTAGGTACACCACCTCAATCAAAAAAAATTCATGGCACTCGCCAAAGTATAACTTCAAGCGTTGCCCATTCACCTTAAATGCAGGTCCTTCTTGACCTTCAACTTCTATGGCACCATTTGTGAACACTCGTGACACTTTAAACGGTCCTGACCATTTGGACTTGAGCTTTCCTGGAAAGAGTCTAAGTCAAGAGTTGTATAGTAACACCCAGTCTCCCACTCTAAACTCCCTCTTAAGGATTTTAGCATCATGCCATTTCTTCATCTTTTCCTTGTATAGGGCTGAACTTTCATAAGCTTTGAACCTAAATCCGTCCAACTCATTTAACTGCTCTACTCTCTCTTTTGAGGTCTTTGTCCAGTCCCGATTTAAGGCTTTCAATGCCCACAATGCTTTGTGTTCCAATTCAACTAGTAGATGGCAAGATTTACCAAAAACTAGTTGATACAGAGACATACCAATTGGTGTTTTGTATGCGGTACGATACCCCCATAGTGCGTCATCAAGCTTTCGAAACCAATCAGTTCTATGAGCACTCATTGTCTTGGCCAAGATACTTTTGATTTCCCGGCTTGACACTTCAATGTGGCCAGTCATTTAGGGATGATACGGAGTTGCTACTTTGTGTTTCACTCCATACTTGCTCAATGCAAAAACCAGTTGTTGCAAAAGTGGGATCCCCCATGACTAATAATTGCCCGAGGACTACCAAATCTCGCAAAGATGTAGCGTTTCAGGAATAGAACAACACTTTTTCCTTCATTGTTTGGAAGTGCAACAGCCTCCACCCATTTAGAAACATAATCTACAGCCACCAAGATATACTTATTACCAAACGAACTCACAAATGTGCCCATGAAGTCTATTCTCCAAACATCAAATAGCTCAATTTCTAAAATGAGCGTAAGAGGCAACTCGTGTCTTTTGGACACTCCACCTTCTTTCTGACCTTGAGTGCATTTCTTAACAAACTCATGAGCATCTTTGTAGAGAGACGGCCAATAGAACCCACTTTGTAGAACTTTAGCAGATGTACATACACCACCATGATGGCCTCCAACCGGTGAAGAATGACAAGCATGGAGAATTTCAATAGCTTCTTCTTCCAGAACACATCTTCTAATGATATGGTCAGTACACTCTCTGAATAAATATGGTTCATCCCAAAAGTACTTCTTAACATCGAATAAGAACCTCTTTTTTTGGTAGAAGTTCAGTTCGTCCGGCATTAATCCACACACTACATAATTGGCAAAATCAGCATACCTCTGAGTTTGTTTGACAATTACCGTGAATACCTATTCACCGGGAAAAACATCATTTATGTCGATCTGTAGCTCGTCATTCTCCTTGCCTTCGAATCTTGATAAGTGGTATGCCACTTGATTTTCACAACTTCTTCTATCTTTGACCTCAAAGTCGAATTCTTACAATAAAAGCACCCACCTTATCAATCTTGGCTTGGCATCCTTCTTTGCCATTAGGTAACGCAGTGCAGCATGATCAGTGTGAACAAACACTTTAGTACCTAGAAAGTATGCCCGGAACTTTTCAAATGCGTAAATTACCTCAAGTAACTCTTGTTCAGAAACTATAGAGTTACGTTGAGCACGGTTCAGAGTTTTGCTTGCGTAGTAAATGGGTTGAAAAAGTTTGTTCCATTTTTTCCCCAAGACAACACCTAATGTCGTGCCGCTTGCATCGCATATTACTTTGAAAGATTTTGACCAATCAGAACTAATGATGATCGGTGTGGAAACCAAATTTTCTTTCAAGCACTTAAAAGATACCATGCAAGCATCATCAAAGTGGAATTTCACCTCCTTCTCCAAGAGTTTTTATAGAGGATGTGCAATCTTTGAGAAGTCCTTGATGAACCTCCGGTAAAAACCGGCATGTCCCAAGAAACTACGAACACCCTTTACCGAAATTGGTGGTGCTAACTTCTCAATCACTTCAATCTTTGTTTTGTCAACCTCCAACCCTTTTTGTGACACTTTGTGAGCAAGCACTATACCTTCCTTAACCATGAAATGACATTTTTCCCAATTTAGGACTAAATTTGTCTCCACACATATTTGGAGAACTTGTCCTAAGTGCTTTAAACATGCCTCAAAAGTGTCACCCACAACCGAGAAGTCATCCATAAATACTTCCATTGAATCCTCCACCATGTCAGCAAAAATAGATAACATGCAACATTGAAATGTAGCCGGAGCATTACATAATCCAATCGGCATCCGTTTGAAGGCAAAAGTACCATATGGGCACGTAAAGGTTATTTTTTCTTGGTCTTCCCGAGGAATAGAGATTTGGTTATAACCGGACTACCCATCCAAAAAGCAATACCAACCTCTCTCGGAGAAACCTCTCTCGGAGAGTCGATCAAGCATTTGATCCATAAAGGGAATGGGAAAGTGATCCTTTTCAGTCCAAGAATTTAACTTCCGGCAATCCATGCATACTCTCCACCTGGTCACCGATCTCATAGATAAAAGATCCCCTTTTTCATTTGGGACTATCGTGATGCCTCCCTTTTTGGTGCACATTGTATCGGACTTAACCATTTTCTATCTGCAATAGGGTAGATCACACCTGCGTCTAACCACTTTATTATCTCCTTTCTCACCACCTCTTGCATTGGTGGGTTCAATCTCCGCTGATGTTCAACACTTGGCTTACAATCACTATCAAGCTGAATTTTGTAAGTGCAGATACCGGGAGGAATGCCCACTATGTCAGCGATAGTCGACCCTATAGCTTTGATATCCCTTCTCAACACTTCAAGGAGCAATTTTATTTCCCAATCAAACAAATCAGCTACAATGATCACCGGTAAGGTGTTATTTGCCCCCAAAAAAGCATATCGGAGATGGAAGGGAAGTACTTTCAACTCTAGATTTGGTGGTTCTTATGTTGATGTGTTTGCAGAAGGACTTTCTCGATTTTTTAAATCAATGTCCAACTTCAATGGAGTCTTTGAATACCCCCCCCCCAAACCTGATAGAGCCGCTACTATCTCTTCATAGCCTTGAATTTCGAACTCATCATAGTTATCAAGCACGGCTTCAAGTGGCTCACTCATGCACATCAAATGGCTCACACTAGCCACCGCTTCATCAATAACATTAATAGTGGAGACAACGTGAATATCACTTAGGTGTTTCATTGACTTACACACATCAAAAGTTACTTCATCTTCATTCACCCAAAACTTCAATTCTTCGCTCTCAACATCCACCAACGCTCTTCCGGTTGCCAAGAATGGTCTTCCCAAAATGATGGGAATTTTAGCATCTATTTCACAATCGAGAATGACAAAATCAGCTGGGAAAATAAACTGGTCAAACTTTACCAAGATGTCATATAGTATCCCAACAGGATGTTTAATTGATCGGTCCTCCATCAAGAGTCTCATTGTTGTGGGTTTCAGTTCCCCCAACCCAAGTAGTTTATAAATCGCATATGGCATTAGGTTGATGCTTGCTCCCAAATCGTATAAGGCTTTAGCAAATTGGAGCATTCCAATGGTGCAAGGGATGGTGAACGCTCTGGGATCTTCTCTCTTTTTGATCAGCTCATTAGTCATAATTGCACTACAACTATGGGAGACTTCGATTGTCTCAAAATCCAAACTCCTTTTATTTTTTACTAACTCCTTCATAAACTTGGCATACCCCGGCATTTCCAACAATGCTTCCACTAGAAGGAGATTAATTGATAATGTCTTGAACACCAATAAAAACTTCTTGAACTTCTCATCCTCATTCTTATTCTTTAGACGTTGAGGAAATGGAGGGGATATTTTGGGTAAAGGTTGCATAACTTTTGGGCTTTGATTGTATTTCTTCATGTCCTTTTGTGGTCCTTTGACAATGCTTTGATGGATAGGTGCCTCTTCTTTCTCCATCTCTTTGTCTTCTTCATGCATTTGAGCTTCTTCATTTCCTGTCACATCACTTATTTCTACCTTTCCACTTCGAGTAACCACAGCCAGCTCTCTGTCATCATCTTTCATTATCATTTTTGGTTTCAATTGTGCTGAAAGTGAACTCAACTGACCTTCATGTATCTTGATTGCATCTGTGGGAGATTTCACTTTATTGTTCAATGATGAAAAGTCGGCTTTTATTCCTTTTAACAAGTCATCCGAACCTTTGACTTTATCAAGGATGCGTGACAGAAAATCATTCACCCGTGGACTACTTGCACTCCCTCTCGATTTTGGGCTCTCAATTGGGTGAGTGTGGTCCTCTTCATGGTCCTCCTCCCTTTTCCAATAGTCACTTTGCTCGGCCCAATCTTGATAGTATTTCTTTTCTCTTCCCCCTTGTGATAGTTCAAACCTTGATTCCTGCCCCACTGTAAATAGCGTGGGTGGAAACCCTCCTCGTATCTTTTGGAGTTCCAACCTTGATTCTCCTCCGGATTTGAATAACCGGAGGAAGAACCCTCCTCAACGCTAAACACTCAACTTGTCCCTTTGGGATTTCCCACATTCTCCATCATATGCTTTTGTAATAGTTCCATTTAGGTCAACATCTTCTTGATGTTTTCATCCCTCTCTCTTTCCTTATCAAGTTGTTCTTTTGTCATTCTAAAATAAAAAGAGGAGTCTTGATCCTCTTGGGTATACCATGCTTTATTTATTTTAGTCATGTCATCAAGAAGAAATGAAGCCACCTCAAATGATTGAAAAATTATTTCCCCTCGTATCAATTGATCAGCCACCCCTTTATTAACCGAATCAAGACTCCGGTAAAAATATTAAAGTAGTAAATTGTTTGGTAGCCCGTGAGTTGGGCATTTAAGTAAGAGTTTCTTAAACCTCAACCACATTTCATGGATAGGTTCACCCTACCATCGCTTGAAACCTTGAATGTCATCTCTAAGCTTCATCATCCTTGATGGGGAAAGAATCTAGTATTGAATGTTATAATCAACTCCTCCCATGTGTCGGAATTGTTTGGTAACTCGGCCAAACACTTGCTAGCCTCCCCCGTCAAAGATAGTGGAAATAACCGAAGACAGATTGACTCTTGTTACACATTCTTGAATGACAAGGGTCTGCACACCTCTGTAAAACTTCTTACATGCTCATGCGGGTCTTCGTGTGCTAGCCCTCAATAGAGTCCTCTCATTTGGAGGAGATGAAGAGTTGTGCTAGTGACCTCAAATATTGCATTCCCATCAGCTTGTGGTATGCAAATTGCACCCATTTCACTTGAATGAAATGGGTTGTAAACACTATTGCCATAATCAATAATGTCCCGATGACCAGCTTGACTACCATTCACCTCTTCCTCACTCATTTTTACTTCTATGGAGTCCAACCAACAATACACAATGCAGCCTAAGCCAATTCAACTGCAGCCAGCCAATTCACAAATCAAATCTTCGATCAAAGGATTCTAAGTAACACTATCCCCGGCAGCGGCACAATTTTGATTACCGTTTCAAAGACACCTCATCCAGTTCTAAGTGTCAACGATCGCTAGTCAGTATATAACCCAACTAAATGAGTTGGGTCAATCCCACACAGAGTAGATTTTCCTTGTAATTCAATTATAAAAGTATGACAACAATCTCTTCAACTG